AGAAGGTGTTTCCTCGTTGCAATAATTTGACCTTTAAGTGCCCAGGTTAATGCTAGAGTATTATTTGCAAACGGAGAACATGAACTGCCTCATTTAAGTACAGCTTTCTCTGGATCCAATTTTTCACCAATGCATTCATTCCTAATGCTCATAAAAAACAAGGAGAGAGGGAGAGAGAAGGAGACAGGGGCAACGAGGAAGAGAACGAGATCATGGGTGAGAGAGAGAGAAAGGACAATACTTGCATTGTGATTTATAGTCGGGAAGATTGTCTGCAATGGTAGAGCACTCTTTCCTAATCAAAGCTTTATTAAATTCTGGTAATAAAAGGCTAAGTGTTTTTAGATGGGGAAGAGGCATAATAGGGTATAGCATTCTCTTCACGAACATTCATCCTGAGTGTGCGTGGGCTCATATAAAAGGCCTTTCCGTCTGACAGATACTCTAAAGGGTAGATACAAACTGTCGCATATCAGTTCGGTCATGATGTTCAAGTTCCCCTACCCCTCGCACCCCCTTGGCCATTTCAGATTGGATCAGAAATGAACAGAAGTATCCCCCCAAAAAATATATATATATATAATCAGGAAATGCACCGATCCAGATTAACACACCCAAGTCCCATTGGAACTGGTGGGACAAAATGCAAGGAACCCATGTACAGTGGTACCTCGGGTTACATACGCTTCAGGTTACATACGCTTCAGGTTACAGACTCCACTAACCCAGAAATAGTACCTCGGGTTAAGAACTTTGCTTCAGGATAAGAACAGAAATCGTACTCTGGCGGCGCAGCAGCAGCAGGAGGCCCCATTAGCTAAAGTGATGTTTCAGGTTAAGAACAGTTTCAGGTTAAGAACGGACCTCCGGAACGAATTAAGTACTTAACCCGAGGTACCACTGTAGTAGATGGAGCAAGATCCAATTGCAGTTAGAGCCAATGAATTCTAGTTTTGTTCCCAGCCTCCTCCCTGCTGAGTTCTACAAAGGCAACACACAGACTAAGCTGGAGGAAGCTTGCAACCAGAGACATCCTGTGGACTAGCTGTAAGCAAGAAAGCAGGGCGGGGCGGGCGGGGAGGCTGACTGAGGTTGGCTGGGCAGTGCAACGCTTCTCCTAATGGACAATGCCAGGTCCTTAAATCCCTCCAACTTCCTCTTATCCGCTGCAATGCGTCCTTGAACTCTCTTAAGGTGCTGCCCCCCACCCAGCCCACGTCTGATAGTTAAGTCTTTATTGACAAAGAAGCACTCACAGCAGCTCTCGCAGTGCTCCAAGATACACAGACACAGACACAGACACTTCTAGACTCCAGGCAGCTGTCCTGCCCTGAAAAGCAGTTGCAGCAACAGGGGCACCACACACACATATACCCAGCTTGTGTATCTGACAGGGGGCACACACATGTAACCTGAGGCGCTGCCTACATGGAAGCAATCACTGCACTTCCCTCTTCAAGCCCTTCCAGGAGACAGGGGGTGGGGGTGGCAGGCAGCCTACTGGCCCATCCCTTCCCTGAACACTCTTCCTCCTCTGCTACATCCGGCATCCCTCCCTCCCTGTCGGACAGCTCTGTCCCTTCCTCCTCCTCCTGCCCTGGCTCCTGCCACGCAGCAGCTCACGGGGTCTCTCAGGCAAGGGTCTTCCCCAGCCCTGCCTGGAGATGCCAGAAATCGAATCTGGGACCCTCTGCATGCAAGGCTCTAACCCCAAGCCAAGGGCCCTCCCCTATGGTCACTGCCAGTCAGAGTAGACATCGCTGGGATAACAATGGCATGTCTCAGGAGAAGGCAGCTTCACAAACATCAGAGCAGTTAAGATATTAATCTTGCCATTTTAGAAACGGCACCCCGGGGGGCATTTTTCCCTCTTACTGCTTTTGTAAGTTATGCATTTTGAGGCACAGTAAATAAGGTAGGACATGACCTAAATATCACATGCAGCCTCCTCTATTTTCGCCGTATTAGTCCTCTGTGCCCTGTTTGCAGTTTCAGACAAGCAGTACTGATTAGGATGAAGGAGGAAAGAGGATATATCTTTGGGGAAACAGGAACATTTCTACCTACATAGACAGTGCAGGAAAGGGGAGGGGTGGGATGGAATTCAGCGAGGAGGTGGAAAAGCTTACTTGATTTCAACAAAGCTGCCAGAGCTTCAACTGCTGCCCTAGGGAAAGAAAAGAAAAAGAAGGGAAATATCATTTTCTTCCATAATTTCTGTAACCTTTGGCTTCATAATCTCTCCTGCGGTTCCCCCAGCTACTGCAAACTGAGCAGAAGAGCTCTGTGTAAAAACCATCACACTTCCATCATCTTGCACCAGCTTGCAAGGCCTTATCCTTTGCGTTTGGCTCAGTTCTACAATTAGCCTTCTAGCCTTGCATTAGTGTTACACTGATCTGTAGTGACCAGTCAGTACAAACAGCTACCCAGTGCGTCGTGAGGAATTAGGCGGCATGCTTTTCTTGACACGACTCCTCCAGATCTCGCTCTCTTTTGCTGTCTAGGAAGCTCCCTGAGACCAAGTCAGACCATTGGGTCCATCTGGCTCAGTGCCAGATACATAGGCCAGCCGTTGCTCTCCAGGATTCTGTTCAGGAATCTCTCCTAGCCCTACAACGAAATGGCAGGGGTTCAACCTAAGACCTTCTGCATGCAAAACAGATGCTCTGCCCCTGAGCCGTGCCCCTTCCCCCAACCTCTCAGTGCTGGGAAAAACTGGCTCTGGATTTCAGTGAACTTCCTGGTGCCTAAGCCATGACTGACCACAAAATATTTCCAGGAAGTACATTCTGGGATTCTAGCCAGGAACTTGTCACTGGTTTTCTAAACCAGTTGCATATCTACACCACAAACATAAATATATAACTAGATATATGTGTGAGGGACTAGGCAGAGGAGGAGTGGTGGAGACCATCTCCCCAGCCCAACCCTTCCAGAGAAGAAGACAGTTCAGAATTACAACAGGGGTTTGAGGGAGATAACAGCTCATGGCAGATGGTGGAGAAAGCTGGGAAATAATGGAAGAGGAGGAGGAAGAAGCACCAGAGGGCGACAGCTGGTGGACACAGTGTCTTTAGAAAGCATTCCCCCTCTCCCAGGCATTGAAAGTAGGAGAGCAAAGACCTCAGAGGCAGAGGGAACTTCTCAGCACCCGTAGTGATGACGCATGAAGGGAGAGGCTGGAGATTCACTCGGGGCAACGCCATTATTTCAAGAGGATGCATTTCCAAGCCTCTCTCTGTGAATATTGAATAAAAAGCAGTTGGTAAGGACTTTTCCTTCTCTTATCCATTCCTGGTAACCTACTGTAGGAGGTTGGCTCCTCTGCCACTTGACAATATGTATCTTGTATATCTTGATTTTTACCTTTTTGTTCTATTACTGTTCTTATATTTGGGTTTTAATATTTCTTTTATTTTATTTCTGTTATCTTTGGGATAAAAATGTCTCAAGTAAATATAATAAACACATTAGCATAATAACTCTTATTAATATTGTAAAATATCATTAATGGTACTAAAAGCTGCTGGGTGGCCCATCAGGATCAAGGCAGCCAAACTGCCCCTGCAAAGCACATCTCACAGAAGAAGTGTTCACACAGTTACAAGTTATGGCAGCTCCTGTGCGCTCCTGTCACTGTGCTTTTTAAGCTGGGTTCATATAGCATTAGCCACAATCCATCTGCATCCTGTAAGTAAGTCAGTAAGTAAGTCAGTAAGTAAGTTCCCAGCCTCACATGCTAACCATTTAACCACACAGCTCCACCGTATAAATAACATCTATTCCCCCATTGAACTTCAAAGATGGAGGACTGGTACTTCCAGGTCAGACGTCATGCGGAAAAGTGCCGAAATGCCATTGTTGGGGCAGCTAGCAAAGCAGCTGAAAAGACAACAAGTTTCTGGAGCATAATGTTGCTGCTCTGTTTCCCTGCTTCTAGGAAGTTCTATGTGTCCACAGCATGCCACATACTGGCATCTTCAAAGCCCCACATGCCCGCTGCGTTGTTTCACCAAAATCACTATATAAACAAAGCCTCCGATAAATCGCATTAGCTTTCTCACCAAGCCAATTATCAAGCTGCAGTTGGAAATAAATATTTTATTGCCATTCAGCTGCCATTTATCGCGTATTCAGCTCGGCAGCCAAGCAGAGGCGAGATTGCGGGGCAGAGAAGCCCACTAGCACCCGCTGTTCCAAGGCTGGCCTTCTTCCTTGTTTACAATGCAATCCCACCCCCCCTCCCCACAAAATGAATCAATTGGAGTCCAGAAAAAGCTTTGCAAACAAGCAACAAATCACCATGTAAAAGCCAGCTGGGCTGATGCTTCAGTGCACTGATTGAAAACTAGGGCAGTGATCAGAGCCGCAGAACAGGAAGAAGAAGGAGAAAAAATTATAATGGCCAGGTGGTTACCGAGTGGTGGCCAGTGAGACACCAGCCAGTTTTATGTATCAGAATGCCACCTGATGGAATGGGAATGAGCAGGCTGTGCCAGGAACACGGCAGTATTTCTTTGCTACATCTCCTTCTATGTGCACCTGTATATCTGTGCAGAAATCAGAAGTGATGCATAAATGACAACGGGGTTTTAACAAGGAAGATGGGGAACATCTGCCCTGTGCCAAATCAGACCCACGGTCCATCTAGCTCGGCATTGTCTACACAGACTGGAAGTGTCTCCCTCTGGTGAAAACCATACATCCTGCAGAAAGGCTAATTCATATTAGGAAGCTGCCTTTCACCCTCTGGCCAGTGACCCCACCTAACAGTACTGTCTACTCTGCCTGACAGTGGCCCTCCAGGGTTTCACAGGAGTCTTTCCGAGGCCTCCTTAGACATCTCGAGGATGGCACCTGGGACCTTCTGCGTGCAAAGCAGATGCTTTGCCACAGAGCTTCAATCCTTCACTCTAAGAAGCTACCAGGAAGTTAGACCCTTGGTCCATGGAGCTGATGACACTTACTGGAGGTGGCTCTCCAGGGTTCCAGGCAAGGGTTTCTCCCTGATGAGAGGTTGAACCTGGGATCTTCTGCTTGGAAAGTAGATGCTCTGCCACTGAGCTATGCCACTTCCCAGGATGTAAGGAGGAATGACTCTTCCCATTCTCCCTTCTCTCCCCCACCACACCCACACAAGGATTATGACTGTGATAATGATAGGTATGGCCAGTGAAATTTTCAAAGGGATGGTAGGTGCAAGCATGCTCACAGGTGAGTCTGGCTGGCCACTGTGGGGACAGGGTGCTGGGTTTCATAGGCCATTGGCCTCATCCAACAGCCAGAATCTTCTTATGTTCTCTGCCACCAGAATGGAGACCGCAGAGGGGCTGTGGACCTCTAGTGCCTGAGATGCAAGGTCAGTCTCAGAAGAGCAGGTGTATCCAACCCATTAAAAAAAAAATCCCATCAATGGGTTGAGGTTGAGTTCATCCTAGGAACATGTGAGCACAGGAAGCTCACATGAGACCATTGGTCCATCTAGCTCAGTTTTGTCTACACTGACTGGCAGTGAAAAAAATTCTGCACCCCTGCTTGGGTTCCAAGGCTCCACTCCTTGGTCTCTAGGCTCTGGATCTGACCCTCTAGCAACACTAACACGGGAAAGACCAGTCCTTACTTAGCCCCTGCATTTCATGTATGTTACAGCCTTGTTGGGTTGCCAGACTTCCATGGCTAACCTGAAGTCTCCAGGTTTGCCTACCTCCCTTCAGATGGCAGGTGGTGGGTTTGAATCTCCAGCTGAGAGATGATGATGATGAAGACAATGATATGATTTAAAAAAATTATTAAGCATGCAGCTTGCAAGCTATAGCCCAGCGGGAACACTTAAACCTATCTGGCCAGAAGCAAGTAGGCTAGATTAAATGTTCCCTGCCCAGGCTCCTGAATCAGATGAGAAGAAATGGTCCCCTCACTTCGGCTGGACCTGAGAACATCCTCTGTAACTAAGCTTTCTATCTTACTTTCCAGTAAGTGATGTGAGGTCTGGGATGCTCCTGACCGTGCAACAGGAGTGATGCGGTAGAGCAGTAAAGCGAGAGGGGGACACTGTGTCATAGATATGGCAAGTTGACAAATTCACTGCTACATACTGAGAAAGTGAGAGCAGGAGATGGGTGGTTTTTGTGCACATGGTCACCTGGTGTCATCATAAGGCAAAGCAATGTTCTTTCCTCCAGCATCAGAGGGAGATAATGAGATGAAGAAGGAGAGAGAAGCAAGGATCTGGATAGAGGTGGGGGGCAATAACCAACAGTAAAACTGCATGGCAGAGAGACAGACAGAGAGAGAGAGAGAGAGAGAGAGAGAGAGAGAGAGGGAGGGAGGGGGAGAGAGAGAACTACAGAGAAAGTGAAAAGGCTCCAAAGCTGTGAGCATATGCTGCAGCAGAACTCTTGACATTGTGCCCAGTGGAAAACCTGATAATTGTCTCAAGAAAAGATGGGAAATACACAGACAAAGCTCCATTCCAAAAACCCAGACCTTCGCCAAGGAGATTCTGATGAATCCCTGTAACAAAGAGCCAAGTTTCGCTCCACCAAACTCTTTTAAATCTGCCTCAAAGAGAGGGATGGAGGGAAAGAAGATAGATGATAGATGATAGATTAGATCAGGCTTCCTCAACTTCAGCCCTCCAGATGTTTTGAGACTACAATTCCCATCATCCCTGACTACTGGTCCTGCTAGCCAGGGATCATGGGAATTGTAGGCCAAAAAACATCAGGAGGGCGGAGGTTGAGAAAGCCTGGATTAGATAGATAGATAGATAGATAGATAGATAGATAGATAGATAGATAGATACCATCTTCCAGGGGAAACTATGTAAAAATAACGTTGTTAGGATGGATCAGTCTATTTCTGGACCATAATTCCATTCATAAATCCTTTCTACCCTGTGTCTGCATTAATCTGTGGGTTGTTGTTGCTTTTTAAAAACAACAACTATGTATGAAGTTTTATTCTTATATACATATTTTATCAGAAAATTCCATTTCATGCATATCTTATCTCAATGTGCATAATGTGCATATTTCTAAGCATATTTTACTCTGAAATATGCCACTTTGTTTTCCATATCTTGGTATGCTTTTGAGCTGAGGATTGCAAAATCTGTAGAATTCATGCTCTGGTCCTTTTACAGTATTAGTCGAAGAGGTGGAGATCTGGTCAGTTCACCGAAAGACACAGACCAAACAAAATTCTCCTCCATCTCTAGAACTTCAGTGTAAAAAAAGGAGGCTTGCAGAGCTTCTAAGAGGTAAATTAGTCAAGTAGAACTTTAACTGATAGAACTTTAACTGGTTTAATCACTGAGCGCATTCATTTTATTGATGGGGATGCAAAGCAAAGGCACATTTGCTTATTAGGGGGAGGAGTTGCCAGTTCTCTGGTGTGCTGCTATAATACTGAATGCAAAAGGAAATCTTAACCATCGCTGTTAGCTTTTTCAATTTCTTATGAGATAAGTTGCTATTTAACTTGCACATTATGGAGAATGGGCTCCTAGATGGCTGCGGCAGAAGGCAGTTCAGACTGCAGGCACAAAGGACCATATTTTTCAGAGCTTCTCCACTTAAATGCCTTCCTGTGTGTACTTAAACAGCACATCTGAGTGAAAAGTTTGCAGTAATTTTCACCAGGATGTGCCACTTCGCCATATACAAATGACATTTTAATGTGGGTTCTCCCCCCCCCCCCGCCGCCGCATTCCTCTTATGAATTCCTTCCCCTGAAACATCCCAAAGCGATTGAGAACTAAAGGCAATTTCAGATCCAGTGCCGATATAGATTGAGATAAGATTCACCACTGTAAAGGCTTGTGGGGAAGGGGAGGGTTTCAATAGACATTGCAAAGAGAATAGAGGTGGCGTCAGTCTGATATGTAAGGGAGAGCATTTTAAAGGGTAAGTTCCAAGTCACATGGTATGGAATGGGCCTCCTGATGAGATGGTATGCAGCTGCAGGAGGCTCCATTCTGCAGAACTCAAGTGATAGGTTGGGTCTATGAGACAATCTCCTGCAGTTACAGCACCTCCGACTAGACATACACCCTCAGAGGGAGTACAACCCTGACCAAAGAACACAACTGACCAATTATCTGGACTCAGGGTCGAGGAACACCTAGTTGGACATGTCATTGCTAGCACCTTGTTCACGTCATCAGGCCACATCATTGAAACTCATCATGTGACTCACAGGAAATGAAGGAATGAAAACCTATACAGTGGTACCTTGGGAGCCGAATGCCTTGGTATGACACTCCTGCAGCCAATCAGAAGCTGTGCTTTGGTTTTCGAACAGTTCCGGGAGTCAAAAACACTCCCAGAATGCATCCCAGAATACAGGTACAACTGTATTGTATATTAAATATATATATATAACCCACACTCCAGGTTATGCATGCACACATCAGCAGCAGAAATATGAAGTTACACAGCTCAGAAAATTCCCCCACTCATTCTGCATAAATCAGCTCAGACTAATAAACCCAAGGAACCTACATGTGAATATGGGAAACTGCATTATACCAAGTCAGACCATTAATCCAGTATTGTCTATTATAATATTTGACAGTGGCTCTACAGCAAAACTTTCCCATCTCCACCTGCAGATGCTGCAGATTGAACCTGAGGCTTTCTGCATGTAAAGGAGATGCTCTACCACTGAGCTATGGCTCCTCCCATGTGTCCACATGGTCTCTCTTCGCTTTTCAATCCTGCTTTTCAATCCTCATTTATAAGTAGCAGTTAAACCACAGTTTACCAATTTGGATGTCATAATAAACTGTTGTTTCATAAGCCAGGACAGAAGGACCAAATCTAGGCATGTGGAAAGGGGGATGGGTGGAAGAGGAGGGAGCAAAGAGACACCCAGCTCATTCATGGGCTTGTGGCTGGACCATCCCAATACCTCAGAGAAAGCTTGGGTGCTATGCAGATGTGAGTTTTTTAAAAACCAGGTCTGTGACTGTATAATGAAATTTGTATTTGCTGCATTTGTATTTCAAATTATTTGTTGCATTTGTTTTTCAAATTGTTTGGTTAGGAGCCAGATGACTACTCTGCTGCAAATTATTTAGCAGCTTGACAGTGCTGTTTAAAATGCATAATCATATGAGATGCTTTATAATCAAAAAGCCTTAGAGCTAGAGAAAGGGACAAAACCTATAGCGATCTGGCTACCGAGCCAACCGCTCCGAACAACAAAGGCCTCTGAAGCACCTCCAAAACCAGCAGGTTGGACAGGGAACAAGCAAACAGATTGAAAAATGCTTCTTGCACATTCAATGTGTGCAAACTACGGACATAAGCAAGGAGGAAGCTCTTCATTGTTCTCTGTGCCAAATGAAAATGAGATTATCTAACAAGACTGGACAAGCACAAAGATGTGGTAATAAAGGAAAACAATCTTTTATCTTGATACGGCCAAACCCAGGGGCCCATCAAACTTCACAAAATCCCTCTGCCGAAACACACTTTTGTTTAGAAATTAAGCAGGTATGAGGCCGCATATTGATGGTTTCATGCAGGCAGGATTCGCCATAGCTAGCTACAAGGGAAAACATAGGTGTACACAAACACTGCGTGATTTTCATGCTGAGTTCAGCATGAAACTGTGTCCCATGTGGAATTTTGCAAGATTTCTAACAGCCCCTTAGATTTGGGATGCAGCACAATACAAAGGAACAACGGATGAGATTGTGACTCCACCACCCTGAGGTCCTCCAGCTGGCTGGGGCCAATGGGGGTTGTAGTCCAAAAAATAAAATTGCTTTCCCCACCCCAATTAATTCTCCTTTTGCTTGCAGTGGAAGAAAGTGACTTACCTTGGGGGGGGCAGATTGAGAGTAGCCAGGCAATCTGCCTCTTCAGCTACTAGTGTGAGTGACCAGTGGAAGGCAGAAGAGCCATAGCACCATGATGGAAGAATTGTTTTGCATGCAAAAAGTCCCAGGTTCAACCCCTAGCATCTCCAGGTGGGTCTGGGAAATACTCCTGCAAATAATACCAATGGGATCCCCAACCCTTAAGCACTGGGCCATCACAGTTAAGTGTGGGTGAAGGCAAAGCTATTGTGTTAGGTGAGCATTTGGTGTTAATGGACCATGAGGAAGCACACCACAAAACTGTGAGTGGTTCTGGCTCTTCCCTGGGAATCATCATCCCTCCCTTTGTTCCTGTGCATTGTGCTGCATCCCAGCTGTGGCTCAAGCCCAGGGTTTCCCAGACTTGGGTCTCCAGCTGTTTTTGAACTACAGTTCCCATCTTCCTTGACCATTGGTCCTGCTCGCTAGGGGTGATGGGAGTTGTAGTCCAAAAAGAGCTGGAGGCCCAAGTTTGGGAAACCCTGCTCTAGCCTGATTGGGCAGTCAAGAAAATCAACAGTTTAAAATATACACTATAACAGGGCTGTCCAACAGGTCGATCGTGATCTACCAGTTGATTGTGGGATCTTCCCCCCGCCCCCGCCCCGCACCAAAAAAAAAAGTTGGACAGCCCTGCACTATGATAAAATTGCAGATTAGAATACATGTCAGCTTTATATGTCAAGGTAAAGGTAAAGGTAAAGGGACCCCTAACCATTAGGTCCAGTCTTGGCTGACCTTGGGGTTGTGGCACTCCTCTCGCTTTACTGGCCGAGGGAGCCGGTGTACAGCTTCTAGGTCATGTGGCCAGCATGACTAAGCCGCTTCTGGCAAACCAGAGCAGCGCACGGAAACGCCTCTTACCTTCCTGTTGGAGCGGTACCTATTTATCTACTTGCACTTTGACGTGCTTTCGAACTGCTAGGTTGGCAGGAGCAGGGACCGAGCAATGGGAGCTCACCCCATTGCGGGGATTCGAACCGCCGACCTTCTGATCGGCAAGTCCTAGGCTCAGTGGTTTAACCCACAGCGCCACCTGCTTCAAGGAAAGCTTATCTAAATAGAAAGGTTTTTAGAAGGTGCTGAAAAGAAGACAGTGGGCAGGGAGTTCCAGAGTTTAGGAGCTGCCACACTATAAGATTGATTTGTTACAAATGCAGAAGAATAGCTACACATTATGGTCTGCACATTCATCCTAGAGGTGCAGATTGAGTCAATCCAGACTGGAATTTGCAAAGATCGAACTCCTCATGTCTCCCTCCCCACCCCCGCCCTAAACTACTATATGCAGGTCACTGAACCCTTCGCCTCCTACAAGCCTCTGCCTCTCCCAACTGCTGCAAGTTATAAGGCACTCTGGAGATAAAAGATGCTACCATCAAAAGAGAACCCAATACAGAGTGTTCTCAGACTGTAACGATGTATGGGAGATAAGAAGAGTGCTCATTTTTAGACTTATCTGCAAGGAGATAAAATGCAGCAAAACTAATTTGAAAACGCCGAATGATTGGGGAGGGCTGGGGTGGAACAAACTAGAAAAATGTAAAGACCAACTTATAGCAAGATAAGGGGGAAATTGCAGGATGTGTTCACCCCAACCCTGGCCATGGGGATGAAATGCATGTCAGTGGAGAGGATCTGCTAGAAGAGAGCAATGGGAAACATAATATCATACAATGAGCCCACTGGTTCAGGCCAAAGGTACATCTTGTCAAGCATCCTATTTTCACAGTGACCAAGCAGGTGCCAATTGGACTGGGCCAACGCACCCATGAGGCAAGGTGAGGCAACCGCCTCAGGTGGCAAGGTCCTCCAGGGGCAGCAGATCATGATGTCAACCTTTCTTCCTTCCTTCCCTTGTTCCTGGTGTAGATTTTCCCTGATGTCCTTCTTTTCTGGTGGGGAGGGGGAATGCCATTTTGGTGGGTCATTTGAGTGGGGGGCAAATACAGGGATTTGGCTGGACTCCAACTCCAATCATCCATGGGCCGAGTTGATGGGAGCGGGGGTCCAGAAACTACATCTGCAGGGCTGTAGGGACCCACCCCTCACTTAACAATTTTATAAATAAATAAATGAATAAATTCTTCCACCCGTTTTGGGGGGTGGGGGGGGTTACATTCTGTACCAAAAAGTCTTACAGTTGCTTCCATTCCAGGCGGCATCTTTAAGTGCTGCTTTTCCGCAGTGCTGCACAGAAACTGACCCACTGATTTACTGAAAGTTTTTTTTTTTCTCCTGTGAAAAAGGCTTACATTTTTTCCGCCTCAATCTTGGGACACCTGAGAATTTCTTTAGAATTTCAGCGGGTGCAGGGTTCAGCTCATCATTACAATGTGGATGAGTGGCGTGTGCATGCATTTGTGTTTCTTTCCACTGAATGTTTCTCAAGCTCTCTGCAGCCTCCCTAGCTGCCTGCACTTCCTGATCTGAAAAAGCCCCATGGAAGGAGCTGCCTCGTGATGTCTTCCCCTGGGCTATCACTGAAGGCACCCAGGAAGGCTGCAGAGTGCAGAACCCTGATGAGATGGTCTATAGAATGAAAGAACAGACACTCACAAATACCCCCCGGCTGCTTGAAAAGTAAGGTAAGCAGGATGAAGCCCCTGTACGGTACTCCACCCATGAGAATTTCACCCAATTTTTTTCTCCCCTTTGATTTCTTTTTGAAGTGCCATTTTCTGTTCTCCTAAGTGATGAAGAATGGTCAGGAGAAATGGCAGGAGAAATTTTTGGCACGGCACTAAGCAAGATTTCAGCTCCTCCTTGGATTAAGTCCAGGGGCAACTCAACCCCAGGCTTTGTTTATAGATTTCTGTCTTGGTGCTGTCACTGTTGATAACAGCCAGGGAGGTATGAGTGAGGTGAAGAGTACTGACAAGTTTATCATGGCAGGAGCCTGTGTATTGTCTCCATCGCCAGTCCGCCATGTTGTACCAAACTCATCATACTTGGCCTTGCGCGGAAATTTAGGGTAAATTTAGGAAGGACATTTCCTCGGGGCTGCAGAACCAGGCAAGAATCTGGCAAGTCACAATAAATGCCTAGCATATTTTTTACTGGATTTTCAGACTCTCAATACTGCTCAAGCAAGGCTTTTGGGGAAGGGTTGCCCAGTGTAATTTCTAGTTTAATCCTAAAACGGGAGAGTGGCTTGTCAATTGTTGACACCTACAGTAAGAACATAATAAGAGCCCTAACTGGATTAGGCTATTGGTCCACCTACTTCAGCATCCTGTTCTCACAGTGGCCACCCACATACCTATGGGGAGCCTGCTAGCAGGACCCGAGCACAAGAGCACTCTCCCCTCCTGTGGTTTCCATCAACTGGTATTCAGAAGCATTCCTGCCTCTGTGGAGGCAGAGCATAGCCATCATGGCTAGTGGCCCTTGGTTGCCTTATCCATGAATTTTCCCAGTCCACCTAAAGCCATCTAAATTGGTGACCATTCTTGTCTCCTATGGGAGTGAATGCCATTGCTGAAGTATCTGCTGAGTTTATCTATGTTCCTGGGTAGCAGACTGAGCAGGCAGATGGGTTACCTGTTCACAATCTCCTCCATTAGGGTGAGATGTATTTCTATTTAAAATGTAGACATTATTTCTAAATTGGCATCTATAATAATAATTTGTTATTTATATCCTGCCCTCCCCAGCCAAAGCCGGGCTCAGAGCGGCTAACAACAAGTAAAAATAGCACAGTGTACACAAAATCACACAATTAATTAAAATACATTCTAAAATCAATTCAGAATCAAATTAATGGCAACCATTGGGCTAGAGTTCTGTGAGGATTACAGAAGGAGAGAA